GAGAACCTGAGGAGGTGGTCTCTGACCCAGACTTGAGATCTTTCAAGGCAAAGAACTGTAGGCTGCAGAATGTGTCCATGGGGGCAAGGAGATAAGGCTGGTGAGAAGATGCCTGCCCTAGAGTATGTACAGGCAAAGGACATCTGTGTATTTCCCCAGACCAAACGTAGGGAGAGAAAGCCAGCTGTGAGCTGTCTTAAAGGGACTTTGTCCAAGAGCACAAAAGAGGTCCCAACTATGAGGGACTTCTTGTAGAATTTTGAAAACCAGGGCTTGCAGAAGGAACAGAAGCAGCTAGGGAGGTTCCTGTTGCTGAGGGATCTTTGAGGAGTCCTTGGATGTGATGCAAGAAAAGGGGTCACACCCCTTTTTATAACCCACCAAAGCAGCCCTAGAGATTTAGCTTCATACTTGGGGGATAAAGTCCTCTATGCTGTAAATGGTCTGTAATTCCTCCTTCTCTGGCCACATTTCAGTCCCTTTCCCTCACCAGCTGTCCTAAACTTCCTCAGGTACCTGAACTCATCTCTTCTTGCTAGGCTGGGGCCCCTCTGGGGTTCTCTGATCAATTCATGTTCTATGCAAACTTTTCCCAGGCCCGGGGAGGGGAGAGTCATTAGACAGGTAAAGATAAGATGTCCCTTATAGGAACAGTAGCAAATGAGACACATTATTCGACAAGAATCTGTGCCTATCTGCTGAGTTAACCGGCACTGTGAAGGAAATTGAAGCACAGCGGAGACGCTGTGGCTTTATGTTAAGCCGTGTTAATTGGCCTTAGGGAGCTTAAAGACTAGCTCTGAAATGGAAGAAGAGTAAGAGGGTATGGTGGGGGTGGGCAGAAGACTTCTGTGTGGCAAGTTTGAAAGCATGCCAGTAAATGATGAGGTATTAAAAGAAGAGAATGACCACTTCTGGGAAAATATCCAAAGGAAATGAAAACACTGACTTGAAAAGATATCTGTAGCCCCATGTTCATGGCATCACTGTTTACAGTATGCAAGACATGGAAACAGCCTAAGTGTTCATTAATGGATGAAGGGATAAAGCTGTTGTGGAATATTATTCAGCCATTAAAAAATGAGGAAATCCTACCATTTGTGACAATATGCAGGGACCTTGAAGGCACTATGCTAAGTGAGATAAATCAGACAGAAAAAGACAAATACTGTATGATCTCACATATATGTGGAATCTAGAAACAAAATCAAAACAAAATCAAACTCATAGAAAAAGAGATTGGACTTGTGATTACCAGAAACAGAGGATGCGGGATGGGGGAATGGAGGAAGGTGGCCAAAATATGCAAACCTCTAGTTATAAGATAAATAAGTACTAGGGATGTAATGTACCGCGTGATGCTATAGTTAACGCTGCTCTATTATACATAGGAAAGTTGTTAAGAGAGTAAATCCTCAGAGTTCTCATCACAAAAAGAATTTTTTCCCTCTTTTCTTTCCTTTTTATTGTATCTGTATGAAAAGATGGATGTTAGCTGAACCTATTGCAGTAATCATTTCACAACATATGTAAGTTGAAGCATCATGTTGTATGCCTTAAACTTGCACAGCGATGGATGTCAATTATTTTTCAATAAACCTGGTGGAAAAGAAATAAAATAAGTGCTTAGGGTACTGAAAGAACCAAAGGATGATTTTGTGCCTCAAGAGTTTGGGGTGGGCTTCATACAGGAGTCCAGACTCTAAGGACTGTCCTTAGGTGGCTATCAGAAAATGAAGGGTCTGGGAATTTCATGTTGGAAATAGGAGTGAGAGCTAACTGGGGCGAGGGATTAAGGAGAAAAAGTTGGATTGGTAGATGGCAGTAGATCGTGAAGAGTGCAAATGTCAGGCTGAGGGGACCAAACACCCTTGGGAAGTCCATGTAGCGAAAAGATGATTTTTGAGGAAGTGTCTCAGCAAACTAAAGCTGTCACTCTTTTTTTTTTTTTAAATGCTGAGAGGGCCGAATCATCCATGCCAGACCGTCTCAAAACAAGGGAAGGAACTAAGAAGTGAGACCAACAGGGAGAGAACTCTTCCTTTCCCTTTTACCCAAGCACTAGGGACACATTATGAATTCATTTTGATTTTAAAATCTTTACGGTTAGATACAATTTTGAGTGCTTCAAAAGTTTTTCCTTTGTGGAAGCCAGTTGGAGGCTGTCACCTAGATACTCCAAGGGAAGAATTTAGGTTACATCTCCCAACCAGACTAGCGTGTCAGCACAAGGATCCCCAAAGTATAGTACCACCAGTGATCTACCCAGCCACACACCTACTCACCCACTCGCACACCCAGTCACCGGTCCCACCAGCCAACAAACATTTTTTGAGCGCCCACCATATGCCAGGTTCCATGCTGTGTACCTAAATTGCAACAGTGAACAACACTGTCCTCTCCAGTGTATGTCATTGTGTTAGGGGCGGGGGAGATTAAACAAGAATGGCAAAACTTTTCTAATTGTCATAGATGGGAGATGAGTACTTGCAGCTTCATTATGCCATTTCTTCTGCATTTTGGTATGTTTGACAACTTTCCTAAGGAAGTTAGACAACTGTCCTGTTTCTCAAGCAAGGAAGCTAGATTTGACAGATACCTATATTCCAAGGGCAAGTTCAGCCTTGAAGTTACACCCAAGGTATTAGTGGAAGAGAAGTCCTTGCGGGAGGGTGGTCAGGAAATGCCTCTTGGTGGAAGTAACTGTTCTCTAAAAGTACTTGCTCAGATTGAGTAAAGAATCCAAAAACTACGGGCGTGACTTGGCCTCAGCTGCTTTGGCAAGTGCTAATAGGTCAGGGTCAAGAGTTAAGAACTAGCCTATCACATTGCGATGGCTTATCTACCCTCCTGCCCCCCTTGCTTAAAGTCAGCAGAGGTAAGTAAATAGATAATCAGATTTAGCCAGCATCTCCTGAGCACCTACTATGCGCCTGGCGCTATACAAAGGCTTTGGGTTAGATTCTGCTAGCACCATCTTATGGAGGATGGAATAGGGGTCAGAGAGTTCCTCAAGGTATGGGGAACCTGACCCTATCAGGCAAGGGCAGTTCAGGAACCCATTCCTTCCAATTCCAAGTCGTGGAGAATAAATCAGAAACATGGAATCAGGCAGAGTTTGCTTCGCGACTTTGAGCAAGTCACCGGGCCTTCCTAAGCTGACTCGATTTCTCTGTCTATAAAAAGGGTACAGTAAAACCTTGTAAGTTTTGTTTTGTTTTGTTTTTTTAAAGGACCAGAGACCTTCACTGTCAAGATCCTGGCATGAAGCGAGGGCTCCATAGATGGCAGCCATCATTCTTGGCCAAGCGCGGGCGCATCCTCCCGCGGGGTCCCTCGGGACAGACCGGGCCCGCCTCCGCGGCTCCGGTCTCGCAGGGCTCGCGGCAGGTGGCCCAGCATCTGGGTGCCCACGCCCCAAAGCGAGCGGGGAGCGCGGGAGGACTGGGGCACCAAGGTCTCCCCTGGAGGATTCTCCCCCGCCCCGCACCCCCCACCCCCCCACGCCCGGCGCAGGTGAGGTTTCCGGCTCAGGCCACGGGGACAGCGACCTTAACAGAGGTCGAGGCGGACAGCGCAGCCCGCGGCCGGGAGGGGGGTCCAGGGGGCGCCCCCTCCCTCGCCCAGATACACCCCGGGGCCAGCCTCGGCGCCCGGGCCCGCGGGCTGCGCGCTCTGCAGCTGCGAAAACCCGGAGAGGCGGATGGGAGCGCGCTCGCAGCCAACTCCTCCGCGGTCCGGCCGCCGAGCTGGGCATGCTCAGTGCGGCCGCCGCGCCGCCGTCCGCCAACTCGGAAGCTCGCGCTCCCCGGCCTTGGGGGCGAGAACGCCGGCGGCGGCAAGCCGGCGTCGCCCGCCGCCCCCAGACAGTGGCAAACTTCGCGGCGTCCCCGGAGCTCGCCCGGCCGAGACTGATACCTTACAAATCAGATCAAATCCAGTTGCCTCCCCCCGCCCGCCCCCCCTCCTCCCCATCCCAACCCGAATCGTGGAGGCTGCGGCCGCCAAAGTGTCGCCGCGGCTGGCGGCCCCTGACCACTAGCCGGGGACCAACAGGTAAACTGT